TCCAACTTTATTAAGATATAATTAATGTATAACATTGTTATATTATATAAGTTTAATACCTGTATCATGTCACATAATTATAATTTCTTTTTCCTGGTGAGAACATTTATGATCTACTCTCTTAGTAATTTTCAAGTATATAATAGAGCATCATTACCTACAGTCACCGTGCTGTACACTATGTTGTAAACTCTTAACTTCATCTTGTAACTGGAAGTTTATACCCTTTGGGTAAGATTTCCCCATCTCCCCTGCCAGCAATTGTGAACCACCATTCTACTCTACTTTACTCAGGATTTCCTTTCTCTTCATGGTTGAATAATATTCAATTATATATATATGAATGGATGAAAAATAGGAGTTATATATATATCATATATGTATATCTACCATTTAATAATTACATATATAATTTCTTTTTTTTATCCATTCATATGTTGATGGACATTTTAGTTGTTTCCATATCTTGGCTATTATGAATAATGCTACAGTGAATACGGGAGTGCAATATTTCCTTGAAATCCTGATTTCATTCCTTTGGATATACCCAGAAGTGGGATTGCAAGATCATTCCATTCTATTTTTAAATTTTTTGAGGCACCTTTGAACTATTTTTCATAGTGACTGTACCAATTTATATTCCTACAAACAGTGCACGGGTGTTCTCTTTTTTCCATATCCTTGCCAACACTTGGCTATTTCTCATCCTTTTGATACTAGCCAGTCTGACAAGTGTGAGATGTTTCATTGTGGTTTCAATTTGCATTTCCCTGATGATTAGTGGTGTTGAGCTTCTTTTCATGTTGGTCATTTGTATGTCTTCATTAGAAAATGTCTATTGAGATGCTCTGCACAGTTTTTAACCAGATTTTTTTTTTTTTTGGGCTATTGAGTTATGTGAGTTCCCTATGTATTGTGGATATTAACCTCTCATCAGATATATGATTTGCAAATATTTCTCCCATTCCATAGGTTCCTTTTCCATTTTGTTGATTTTTTTTTTTTTTCTGTGAAGAAACTTTTTAGTTTGGTGCAGACCCACCTATTTAAGTTTGCTTTTGTTGCTTGTGCTTTCAATGTCATATCAAAGTCCTTGCCAAGACCAGTATCAAAGAACTTTTTCTCTGTGTTTTCTTCTAAGAGTTTTATGGTTTCGGGCCTTATGTTTAAGTCTTAACCATTTTGAGTTTACTTTTTTATGAATGGGTTAAGATAGACATCAAATTTCATTTTGTTGGCATTCGGTTGTCCAGTTCTCCCAGCTCCATTTATTGAAGAGATTATCATTTCTTTATTAAGTATTCTTGGCTCTTGTCAAATATTAGCTGACCATAATATCTGTGCATTTATTTTGGGGAACTTAATTCTGTTCTGTTGGTCAATATGGTTATTTTTATGACAATACCATGCTGTTTAGATTACTATAACTTGTAATATAGATTTAAAACAGGAAGTGTGAAGTTTTCAGCTTTGCTCCTCTTTCTCAGAATTGCTTTTTGGGTCTTTTGTGGTTCCATACAAATTTTTTAAGATTGTTGTTTCAATTTCTGTGAAAAAGGCCACTGGAATTTTGACAGGGATTGAATTGAATCTATAGATTGCTTTGGGTAGTATGGGTGTTTTGATAATATTAAAATATTAATATATTTTAAAATATTAATAATATTAATGTTATTAATAATAATAATTAGTATTATTAATCCTTGGACTCCACGAACAGGGATTTCTTTCCATTTATTTGTGTCTTCTTTTATTTCTTTCATCAAAGTCTTATAGTTTTCAATGTACAGATCTTTATCTCCTTGGTTAGAGTTATTCCTAAGTGTTTTATTCCTTTTGATGCTATTGTAATGAGATCATTTTCTTTATTTCTTTTTCAGATAGTTCATTGTTAGTGTATAGAAATACAACTCATTTTTATACAGTGAGTTTGTATTCTACAACTTCACTGAATTTATCAGTTCCAGCAGTTTCTTGGTGGCATCTTTAGGATTTTCTCTATTTAAGATCACGTCATTTGCAAATAGTTTTACTTCTTCCTTTCTAATTTAGATGCTTTTGTTTTCTTGTCTAAATTGCTCTGGCTAGGACTTCCAGTACTATATTGAATAAAAGTGGCAAGAGTGGTGTTAGAAGGTGGAGAAGGGATAGTAAGGTGTCCCCCAGACTGAGAAGATATTTTGAGATCCAAAAACTAAGCAAGCCACTCTATACCAGAATTTTGTTCAGGGTAACTTACTGACAGGGGCAATTGGGTGGACAATGACACTAGGTGGCTCTTCTCTGACACAATCTGGACCTTAATCCACAGGTTTTATAAAGTATGGGGCATTGTAGGTAAGGCAAATGGTAGTTATCTAAAGTGGCACCATCTATGCACCATACATCTCTACTAGTTATCTAGGGTGGTGCCTTCTGTATGCCGCTTTAGGGAAGATCAGAGCAAGTGCTCCCCGCGTTCCGGTGAGGGCATACATTAACCTCCAAGGGGCCTGCCTTCTGTATGCCGCTTTAGGGAAGATCAGAGCACATGCTCCCCACATTCCGGTGAGGGCATACATTAACCTCCAAGGGGCATACATTAACCTCCTGATAACTGTAGTCCTAAGGGAGATCATTGTGTGGGTATGAACAAGATGGAGAGCCAATGATGGAGTTGGTGTTGTCAGCACTCCAGGTGGGCACACTTGTCTTTTTCCAGATCTTAGAGGAAAATCTCTCCACCTTTCACCACTGAGTATGATGTTAGCTGCGTGCGTTTTACATATGGTCTTTATTATGTTGGGATACGTTCCTTCTATACCCAATTTCTTGAGAGTTTTTATCGTGAAAGATGTTGAATTTTGTCAAATGATTTTCTTGTATCTATTGAAATGATCCTACAGTTTTTATCTTTCTTTCTATTAATGTGGTATAGCACATTAATTGATTTTCATATTTTGAACCATCCTTTCATTCCAGGGATAAATCCCACTTGATCATGATATATGATCTTTTTAAAATGCTATCGAGTTCGGTTTACTAATATTTTGTTGAGAATTTGTGCATCTGTATTCATTGAGGATATTGGCCTGTACTTCTTTCTAAGCTTAGAGTCTTTATCACTGTTTTTCTAGAATTATCTATTTCCAAATCTTATCTGAACAAAACCAGCTGCCTGTTTTAGTGAACACATGGAATATCTATTACCACATTTGCAGCCTCTTTCTGATTGTAGTACTGTGGCTGCATTTCTGGATTTGTTCTCTTCCTTAATATGGTAATGTAAAAGGCATTTTAGACCTTTAACTTGCATGTGTTCAATATGGACAGTGTGTGGGGGAGGTATGAAGAACAGCTGTGGGTTTTGACCAAAAGCTGGAGGTTGTGTGGATTAAATAGATTTATTTCCTAATTGTTAGGTGATTCCTTGAAGGGAGTGCTTCTATCCAAGGAAGGACCTATCCTAGAAATGGGTTAAAGGCTAAAACTTCAAAGGTTGGGTACAGTTTTTTAATCTCTTTGGATTTGCTTTCTAAAAAATACATTGCTTTGACTTTTCAAAGCTGGGGAATTTTTTTAGAAAATACAGTTTTTCAGACACTGCACTGATTCACTTGGTCTGGACTGACTGCAATGATACAGAGCTTTAGAAACCACAAATAGGGATTGTTACGGAGAAGGGGTGGGATAAGGAAAGGAATTCACAGTGGAAGGAAATACTCATTATATCTTGTGAAATCTTGCTGTCCTTTGTAAGGATGCTCCCAAGAGATAGTTCATATTTAGAGCATGTTGTATCTGTGACTTAGGGATGCAGTGGGTTTGCTGGAAGGCTAGGTGAGGCTCTGCCCTATTTACTGTGTAAGTCGCTTCTCTCTTGTCCAAAGTGCATCTATATCCTCCTGAATTTCTGTCATTCCTCTCTTCTGAGATGTCATTCTCCTGGGAGCACCGCTGGATTCTAAATGGCACTGTTTGTTCATAAGGAATAGGACTCGAAATAAGCTAGGCAAAAGCATTTTTTTAAAACTATAAAGCTCTGTACACATTTGGTATATTATTACTATGAACAAAAACAGTAACTATTATTGCTGAGTCTTGTGGGTGCTTTGAAGGATGTAGTTGATGTAATTGGACAACCTGGACTGGTAAGTAGAAAGGCCTGGGTGTGGCTTGTGACCAAACCTTGGTTGAGTGTCAACTATGTGAAATAAACTGAATTTGCTTAAGCTCCCACAAGTAAGAATTTTCACATTGTATCCCTTGGCAATATTTTTTTTAAATGTTTTCCAGGATTTGACTTTTAAAATTTATATATAATCCCTATAAAACTCTGCCTATCAAATACATTGTTTTCTATCAGATTTATTTATCCTTTTCCATATATGTACATATTTACATAGTTTTATTCATGGTACAGACACAGTGTCTTTGATGACTTCTTTCTTTTGACCATTTTTTTTATTGCTTCCAATCTTTACAATTATAATTGTAATGACTACGTAATATTTATTATTTTATTTGGTTATTAGACTATTACTAGATAGTTTGATTGTTTCCAAATTCTGCTGTTATAAATAGCCCTGGGATTAATATGATATCTTCATGTCAACAGTGGGAAGCTGTTGACTTCTCTCCAGTTGAATTATTTTCTTTGTCCAAACTCTGAAATGTGAGACTATAGTCACAAAAGATAGAAACATTTTCCAAGCTCCTGATAACTATTAGAAAATCCTCTGTGCCTGGTTTCCTCATCCCTAAAATGAAGTTATAATAGTATGTAAAGTACTTCAAGAAGTGCATTCAGTGCATTAGATGTTGGCTACCACTGCTGTCTCTACCATCACCATCCCAACCACCACCTTCATCATTACCACCACTATTGCTACTGTTACTATTTTGGTGAAGGTCAAATGCATTTTCACGAATGAAAACAGATGTCTTAATACAGTTTTGATAATCAGATTGCTCATACAGACTTTTTTTGTTTTCTCCTTATCTTTTCAAATGATTTGTAGGCTGTTTGGTTTTTGGTCTTCTTCTTCGGTACCAGAACTCTCTCCTTAAAAGAATGATCTTCTTAATTTCCTTCTTTTCCCTTCTATTGCTGTCATGAAACCATTTCTACCTGGGAAGATAAAACACGTGTTTCTTATATTTACTATAACCTTCTTATATTATATTTGGGGGTGATAAAGCTAAACTGAAGAAAATGGGGTTCTGGGAGAGAAGACACCATTGTCTGACTCAAGTTTAGTATCTATTACACACGGATGTCAAAGTCTGACCTCTGGTGGCTGTGAGCTGGAGCTGTGGGGCAGATGTACCAAGTCTAAAATGGGATCATGGACAAATGTACCCTCCAGCAATAGCTAAACGGGTGTAGAGCCAATTGGCTTTTAAAGCTCTTTTATATTCATTGTGAAGGTTGTTCCTTGTGTCAACAAAGACATCCTGCTTTCTTCCTTAAAAAGCAATTATCTTATAACTCAGATTCTCATGGCTTTAAATAAATGTTCCATGAATCATAGTCTACAAAAAAAGTTTTCTTAAAACCATTAACCACCCTGCCATCACCACTACCACCACCTGACAATATATATGTAGAAATCTCAGGGGGAAAAAAATGGATTGCTAAATCTTAGCAAAAGGAATATCAGCAGGATTGAAATTCAATTTTTTATCTCAGAATGTCTTTAAGGAGATATACCTAATCTGCTCATCAAATATTTTCAAACCTTCTAGGATTTAGCTTTTTAGGAATGTAAACTAAAAATCTCAGAAAATGATTTTCAGATATTATTCATTTATCATGTAATTAAAAGAGAATGATGTGAATGAAGAAAATAAATTTAGATATAAAAAGTCACAAAGAGTTAGTGAGAATACATATGGGGTATTTTTATGTTTTTGATTGTTGTTTAAAATGATATAAAAATGGTGCCCCTTTGCTTATGCTTGAGAATAAATGTTTACATTAAATTTTAACTATTTAGCTTTTATAAAAATGGGAGTTTTTAAGGTGATCCAATGAAATGACATATACAACTAATAGTTAATAATTTGGTATTTTGTGTTTGTATGTATTTTTGCACAAAAACCAGTTGAAAAGTGACAGATTAATTGTCGCTACTTGCTTGATTCACACAAAAATATAGAATTTGAGGCAGTGGACATTGAAAACAGTAGGTTCTTCCACAATTTCTAGGTGGATGACACATTCTCCTTTGGTCCCAGCCCAGTTAGGTTCAGCATCGATGTTATTGTCTGCAGTCAGGGAAGGGACTGTTATAATGACACAGTCTTAGCAAATTGGTTCATCAACCCTCCCCAACATTTGTACCATTGACCTTGACTTTAAGTAAACAGTATTAATGCCTTCTTGCTGTAAATAGGTTATAACTCTGATTGTTTCTCTCAGTCTCTTCAATACCAAAATTTTAAAGCCTGATTAATGTTCTAAAAGCTTAACTGATTTCCATAACTTGAATATATTTATTTTAATTACATATTATAGTTGTAGATCATTTTTATATTTATATGCTCATTGCAAAAAAAGCTCAGAAAATGGCAAAATATGTAAGAAAACAATATTATCCCATTTTAAAAGTATTTTGACAATTTAGTTGATGTGACAATTTAGATGATGTTTCTCGTTTTTCTTATCATTTGAGTAGAATTAATTAGCAAAAATAAATCACTGATATTTACTGCATAGGATTCTTTGCCAGATACTGTTTTCAGCTTTTGCATACATTGCTCGTGTGATGGTCAAACAATCTCATGAAGTAGGTTCTGTCATTATCTCTGATTTTACAGATGAAGAAACCAAAGGAAGGTTGCTCAAGATGACATAGAAAGTGTCTGAGTGAGACTTTGAACCCGGTCGCCTGATTGCTAAGCCAGTCTCTTTCACACACTGCAAATTAAAATGAAAAGATCAGCGTATGAACAGGTGATCTGCTCATGGGCCAAGCCTTAAAGCACTCACAACTCAGACCTGTAGAACGATTGGAAGATATTCTATACTATTAATGAATTCTACTACTATATAATTTATTTAAATTTATTTAAAATTATTAAAAACATAAAAATGTATATTTTAACATCATTATGGTCACCATCATTTCTCTCATACTGTAATCTATGTATTAGGTGTTTGAGCAACCAGAAATTGATTTAGAGAAAGATTTTCTTTTTAAGTCTTACTCTAGTTCTAATCTTTTCAATTCACTGAGCTTAACAAAATATATCAGTTTGTTTTGCTAGAAATTAATTGCACTTCTGGGAAGTGATTTGACTGTCTTCTATATCCTGCTTGCCTTTTTTATAGCTGAATCCACGTCCAAACCCATCCCCTTCCAGCCAGAGGGATGACTAAGCAAGGGGGAACAAAAGCCACAGAAAGAGCATGTGGACATTCCAGGCCAGGCAGGATTAGGGAGGATACCTGTCAAGAGCATGCCTTACTCCCTCTGATCTGATGTGCCATCAGAGACAGCGACATGTTTACCCTCTTGCATCAGGAGGCTGTCAAGCCTCTTGAGTGCTAGCCATTGAACAGACTCTGGGGTCCAGGAGCTGTAGCTCCCAGGGCTCCTTAGGAAAGGAAAGAGAGCAGAGGCCTGGGGTGAAGGAGACGCAGTATATGGGGCTCATTTTATGGAGTTTCATGGTGATGGATGAGGCAAAGATGATACTAGTAATGCAGCTTCTCCTCTTTGATGACATAAATTTTGCACCTGATCCCCAAGGGAATAGAGCAATGCCCTGTTTCTGTTTGCTAAGTAGAATCTGCAACTCTGATCACAAGCATGACAGAAAGTCATTCCATGTGAGTGGCTGTAAGACAGTAATTATGATCATTTCATTGATTCAGCATTTATTTGATGCTTACTGTGTACCATACATTGTTCTTGACACTGGAGAAATAATACTGTTCAGGTACTCTTCTGGCTGCTGAGGGTATAGTACTGTTCAGGTACTTCTCTAGATACCAGGGATCTAAAACTCTCATAGAGCTGACAGTTTATGAAACTAGGTCTTTTTCATCTTGTCCCTCTCCCTCAACACACAATTAGCCTAGAGCCTGGTATATATAATAGGTACACTTGGTTATGTTCATTGAAATAAAACATGAAAAGTGTCAGGGCAGAGAAGAGTCACAAAGGGGATTGACCAGAGGTCAAGTGTTCAACCTGGTGAATCACTTCACCTCACTGTTTCCAGGTTTATGAACAGTGCTGAAATGAATTTTTCTCCCATGTAGATGCTCCTTCAACCTTCTAGTGACTTCTCCTCAGTCAGGTTCTAGGTGAGCCACTTGGAACTGTCTTCAGAACTCCAGCTGCTGGTAGCTGGCTCTGAAAAGCTGGAGAGATCCCCGGGTGAAGTAGAGAAGGATTTGTATTTAGAACGCCCAGAAAGAAGGGAGCCAGCGTAAGTAGAGATGAGTGTAGCAATTGTAGAAAGTGGTAAAATATACTGGTAGGTGAGGAAAGGAAGGCCCCTTTGCTGTAGTCAGAGGACTACGCTGTGTCCCAGGAAATGTGGACAGAAGTAAGATTCCAGAATCTGTAGGTGGAGGTATATGAATGATTTGGGCTGGGCAGGTCCGATTTCCTCATAAATAGTTTCATTTTGCTCTTTGCCTAATAGAATGTAAACCACCCTGCCCCTTTAAGTACATCAGACTCACAGGAGTTTCTGCTGCAGAGCCAGTTCCAAGGTAGATCATTGTACCCCAGTGGATAACTGGACGCCCCAGCTCCTGGCCCTTTCCCTAATGTGTGGGGATGGTGGCTGCTTCCAACACATCTTGCTCTTTCAAGAGCAAAACCATTTGTGTAGGCTGGAGTCTCTATTCCTGACTGCGCAGTTGTGCAGGTTACAGTCACTTAGATAATTCATCAGTTGCATTTCGGAGTGTGGAGAGATCATACAAAATTGCTTTGGCTGAAACCACAAAAAGGAAAACAGTTTTTGTTTTGTTTTGTTTTGTTTTGTTTTTGGGGTTGTTTTTGTTTTTGTTTGTTTGTTTGTTTGTTTTTGGGAATCATAAGGATTGGATTCCTCCAGACCAAGAGGCTATTTCTGGTCAAGATTTTTTTTTTTCATTTTTTTATGTATAATTGGCATATAATAATATTATATTAGTTTCATGTGTACAACATAATGGTTCAATATTTGTGTGAAATAACCACCACAATAAGTCTAGTTACTGTTTGTCGTCATAAAAAGTAACAAAATTTTTTTACTTGTGATGAGAACTTTTAAGATTTACTTTTTTGACAACTTTCAAATATACACTAGAATATTACTAACTATGGTCACTGTGGTGTATATTATACCCCCATGGCTTATTTATTTTATGACTAGAATTTTGTATCTCTTGACCCTCTTTATCCATTTCATCCACCCTCCATTCCCTCTCCCCTCTGGTGACCATCATTTTGTTCTCTGTATCTGTGAGTTTTATTTTGCCTGTTTGTTTTGTTTTTTAGATTCCACATATACGTGAGATCATACAGTATTTGTCTTTCTCCGTCTGACTTATTTCATTTGGCATAGTACTTATTCTCAAGGTCATCCATGTTGCCACAAATGGCAAGATTTCATCTTTTTTACCTGTCATTCAGTGGACACTTGGATTGTTTCCATATCTTGGCTATTGTAAGTAATGCTGCAGTGAACATGGGAGTGCATACATTTTTTCAAGTTAGTGTTTCATTTTCTTCAGATGAATAATACCCAGAGGTGGAATTACTGGATCATATGGTATTTCTACTTTTTAATTTTTTTTTAAAGATTTTACTTATTTATTTGACAGAGAGAGATCACAAGTAGACGGAGAGGCAGGCAGAGAGAGAGAGAGAGGGAAGCAGGCTCCCTGCAGAGCAGAGAGCCCAACACGGGACTCGATCTCAGGACCCTGAGATCATGACCTGAGCCGAAGGCAGCGGCTTAACCCACTGAGCCACCCAGGCGCCCTCCACTTTTTAATTTAAAGGTGAGGAACCTTTACAGTGTTTTCCACAGTGGCTGGACCAGTTTATATTTCTGTCATCAGTGCATGTGGTTCCCTTTTTTTCACACTC